GTTTTGATCAGGAGATTCAGTACTCTTTCAGAAGATGTGTGATATCGCCCCCTACTGTATAACAGTGAAAACAAGGAAAGCCAGAAAATTGGCTGGGAAAGAGTTGATAGTAATAAGCAGTGAGTATTTTAGCTATGAGAAATGTGTTAGTATATAATTTGTTTTTCTCTCTAAGAGATGAATGATTTTGTCATGATTATAAGACTTCTTTTCAATAATTTCATTATTTTAATGAGGCTTTTTTCATTTTCATGTAAAGACAGTTACATCAAGCTGAAATTGTTTACTTTTCGCAAAGAAAATAGGAATATAATATAGTAAATACAATAAAAATTATGATGATTTCTAATGTACCTTTTAAATAAACTTGTATTTTTTCCTACTGGTCTATGAGCAGTCCTGATAGCTTCATGTACATGTACAAACAAACTTCCCCATTTGCATTTTAAGTAAACACAGGTGGCAAGCCCTGTAGCGCTAAAGCACTGATCCAGTATTGATTATTGATCTTTTTTTTTTTTTTTTTTAAATAACACCAGCACAGCTGCTCGAAGATCACAGCTCCACAGGCTTTGACAGGATTGACATTGTATTTGGCATGCGATTAGGGGTGATGTGACGGGTTTAAATGTCAGGGCTATTGGCTGTATGTGTGCATGGCCGTGTGCCATGTGCGCTGTAGCATGGGTGCTAATCTGAGAGGTCTGTGATACGACTGGATTGATGGAGGGAATTAGTGTCAGGGGGGGTCTTGGATGCAAGACTTTAATTACAGGATATGACCTCAGAGTTTGTGTGTGTGTCAGTAGGAAGACTAGAGCCTTTGTGGAAAATTGATTGAGATTTTATCTTTGGATGTTCAGACACATTAAGGGCTGAGCGATATATTGAATATTCATGATACATTTGTGATAATTTTGCTGGACATATAAAATTCGACATCATCGTGAATATCACAAAGAATTAAATGCAAGCTTTTTATTTGGTCATTACGATTCTTAAAGGCTGTTTCATTAGACTAGTTTCACAATCCTTCTGGCCTTGTGACTATGATTATGACTGAATATGACTATGAACCAAGTTGCTTTAATGGAGTATCTGATTTGTAAAAATGGCATTAAGGTAAAATCAAAAAATGTTCATGAATCATTGTGTAATATAAATTGATGCACATCTAAAGCTTTTTCTTTCTTTCGTTTCAATAGCAGTAAACGCAAAATATGCATTATGCAAAATATACATAATGTTGTTTTTTTATTGTGAGGTTATATATCTATTTATTTAAAATGTATTATTTTAAAAATGTAACACAGCACATACCTGGTTCTGAAACTGATTTGCCAGTATACAACTTAATGGTGGTTCATACATGTAATGGTGAGCTATTTAAGATAAATGCTTTATGTATCATCTTTGCAACTCTAGGGAGACTTAGAAAGCATTGATATGCTACTGAAGATTTTCAGAGTTCACTGCCATTGGCACTGCTATTTGTATTCAACATGTAGACTAATCTCCATATCCTTTAGGCCACATTGATTCATATTGGAGAATGCTTTGGCAAGTGGAGATTTTTCTGAAGGGAAAGTAAAAAAAAAAAAAACAGATAATAAAAAGTCTTTGCGATTTCCGTTCATCTGTCAGCGAAAGGTTTGGTGGGATTTTCCTGGCTGGTTCTATCTTGTGATACTTCATACCTTCTTTGCAAGTATTCAGTTCAGGCATTCCAATTTAAATGCAAATTTTACAGGAGATCACAAGGAACCTGAGATGGGTGCAAAAAATCATTCAGCACCAACGATAAATTATATATTTTAATTAACCAGTGAGAGAAATGCCTATATTCAGCAGCAATGTCCATAAATAAGATATGAATAAATAAATAAGACAGGAGATAAAGGCGAGCAAAATGGGTCTCATTGAGCAACATTATTATAAAATCTGCAGAGCCATGGGATGTCATTAAGAGAAGGATCCTGAGCTGTCAGATATCAAATGCATTGTTCACGAGTTTGATAGGCTAAATGCTACTTATGGCCGCCAGAAAAAGGAGGAATTCTGAAGAACTGACAGAGAGATACAATTTTAATTTCACTCCTGTCAGTCCTTTTTTTTCTCTCTCGAGTGCTGGAATAAATATGAAGTGTCAGTCAACAGACTAAAGTATTTCTCTGCTTTACTCAAGAATCTCAACGGAATAGAGGAAAGCTTTGGTTTTTAAACAGTGGTAATTGAATAACCGAAAAGTGCACTTTCAAAATACTGAAAGTCGTTTTTGACATACTTTTAATTTGGGCATACTTACTAAGTTGAATATGAAAGGGTCATCAACTGTATTCTGTAATGATATTACTCCATAAGTAGTGCTGGGCAGCAATATTTGAGTAATATCTGGACATATTCTTGATTTCAAAGAGTTTATTGTCATTCAAATGTAAATGATGACCTCATACAATATTTATGATGAATTTTTGAGGAACGACACACAGAGACAAACAAAGACGTCATTCAGCGAGGATATACAATATTGACTTTAGTCTAAGACATTGATCAAACAAAGAAAATATTTTGCTCTTTTGTCTTCACACTTTTGTGTATGTGAACCTTGTGTTTAGTGAGTGACGAATGCTGGGTAAATACAGCATGTTGATAAAAGACACGCTAAGTATGCAGACCCATGAATCAGAACATAATAAGTAGCTGACAAAAAGCAAAATATCCACAATATTAAACACCCCCATCAATAAAAGCAAATATTATAGGCACATCACTCCCACTTACATCTTCGACACCAGCCAAGACGAGCACGTTCTTGCCAGCAAAAACAATCAAGAACTTTTGCTACAAATGAGCTAGGTTCTCCGCAATTAGCGAGACGGTGTTGTGATTACAATGTTAAATATATAAATAAAGTGTGTATACATTTCCTTTAGCAAGTTAACCATCCTGATAATGGGGTGTGTTATAATTTCCTGTTTAATTTTAATAAATAACTACCGTTGGGATCATGGGAGACAATTAAACAAGTGAGTATACAAAAAAAAAAATCTTCTGCTTGTATTCCATCCATGGCTTTATGTGTGCATTCATCCAGTTTTGTTTTTTTATTCTTGGTTATGAATATTCCCTGTCTCACTCTGATGAATGCCTCTCTTTGTGCTTGTTTTGACTGTGGGCTCTTTTTAATGTTTTAAATGCTGGTGTGCTTAGGGAGACAAATTGATATCCTGACCCTACAATGTGTTGTTTTTGGTCTGGATTTCAAATGTTTCACTGTTAAGTCTTCCCATAGGAAAGAAAATCACAAAAGGGGTCCTGTTAATATCTCAATTATTTCTTCTGGACAAAAATGAGATTACATTGAGATCAAGTTTTGTTTAAGTCTCCTGCTTCTCAGATTTTTACAGTAATCTCACATATGTCGCCTCTACAGTTTCAGAAGTGATCTTAGCAATGCCTCAAACTGATTTTCTAAGATATCAAAGTCTTTCATCAAATACAAATTGGTAATTATTAATTATTTTTGCAATTCCATTTGGTTCCGCTTGTGGTGCATACATTACACACTGTAACTTTAAATGAATCTGGAACTCCATTAAAGTGATTTCAGCAAACTTCCACTATTTTTGCTTACTTCAACCACAACTCTAAAGACATACTAGCAGCCAATGTCGTTCAAAAACCCATGAACATTTAAAATGATTGATAGGCCTAGAGTTTTTCTGATTTAAGTTAAAGAAGGGTACTGTTTTGGTGTTCGCAGGGTCTATTGTGCTGTCACAGATACAGTTATGATTGATCAGGAGACCTGTTTCAGGGATATCTGTCAGGTAGTAGGAAAATCGTATGTGATCAAATGTGTTTTTTGTGCCACTGTTGACACAAAAAGGAATTGAAGGCTGTTTGTTTAAATGACCCAGCTAAGTCAGCCAGAACAACAGTGGCTCAACCAATGGTGTGATTTTGAAACAAGACTACCCTCTCAGGTCTTGGAGTGACTAGAAATGTGCGTGTCAGATAAGTGAGACATTCAGAAAGTGTACTTTTAGGGGTAATCCAGTAACATGTTTGGGAAACACTGTCCTGAGTTCTGAATTATGAAATAGCAATAAGGATGAAACAACATTTCCCCTGGTTTAAAAAAGAAAAATAGATGGTGAAAATAGAAAATTCATCATTTATGTCATGATGAAGTTTTTCTGAAATGAAGCGGTTAAATGCTCACGAAGTGACTTTCGGAGTGGATCTACAGCCTGGAGAGGAAGTTCGTGCATTTGTGTCTTCATATAGGCAAAAAAACAGCGCAAGCGTCACACGTGCTTCAGTGTGTGTGTGTGTGTGTGGTAAATGAAACTGCGCGTCGGCTGCACCAGTCATTCGCACAGAACATGCAGGATTCGCATTTAAATTGTCTTTGTGGTTTTATATTCACACACACTAGTCTACATCGCGATTTGATTTCAAGTGTACTGAACTGCTTTCTATTTATTCCTCAAACAATTTACAAATTCCGTGAAATTCCGCATTATACAGTAAATTCCTTTTTTATGACGGGATTTCTTCAGCATTTTAGGGGAGGGGGGGGGGGGGTCGTTTTGGGGGGGCGGGCCGCCCCCCCAAAACAATGGTAGGGGAAACACTGGAGAGTGAGAAAAGAGAGAGAGAGAGAGAGAAAAAAGAGAAATAGAAGGCCAGATGAAGAGAGACTAAGGAGGTCTTTATGATGGTCAATCCTGGATCCAAACAGTCTGGCATTGTCTTTCCTTCTCCCTATTTCTCATCTAGGTCTGTCTATCCCACAGCCAGTTGGCCAGAGAGAATATCAGTCCCAGAGGGCATTGATTCCACTGATGAGACGCTATAAAGTAGGGAAGAGAGAGAGAGAGAGAGAGAGAGAGAGAGAGAGAGAGAGAGAGAGAGAGAGAGAGAGAGAGAGAAGTGGGGCGGGGAATCAGCAGGCAGAGACATTGGAAGAAAGAAAACAAGTGAGAGAGTGAGAGAGAAGGGGAGGGAAGGAGGAAACTGTCCTCCTCATGCTGTCTTGGCATCGGTGCCACCCAGTTTCTCTCGGGCAGGCCAGAAGCCTCACGATCTACCTCTGTGTGTGTCTCTGCAGATGGCCAACATTGTGACGTCCTTCTGCTGTGTGGTGCTTGCAGCCGTGGTGGTGGTTTATGCCCAAAGGCGCAGCCAGCAAGGTAAGTCCACATTTTGGATACTTCCTCCATCTGTTGTGGGTCTCCGGTGTGTGTGTGTTTGATCAGGAACAAGACGCTTTCTTAACAAAATCCGCTACATACATCTTTTGTAGATTATGGATCAGTTTGTTCTTTTCTGTTATCTTGACTTTCTTTTTACTTGTCATTTTCTTTGCGTCCTTCCTTCAGTCTGTCTGTTGGAGTGGAACAGAGAAGTCACATTGTGAGCAGAGGGTCAGTATCACCTGACTGTGGGGAGGGGTGTGTGTATGTGTGTGTGAATGCTGTTTAACGCATGGCCTGGCTGCCCGGAAACACAGAGGCTAGCCTGTCATTGGGTCAAAAACTAGAGCTCCAGAACAAAACAATCCTCGGAGTGTGTATGAATGTGTCTAAGTTTGGACCAGACATGTTATCTTGCTGACTGTGATGGGTTCTCTCATGCTTGGGTGAATAACCAACTATGTTGTTTCTGTATTTCAATTCAGTGTCATTTTGCAAGACCTCGGGGTGGAAGTGCTACCGAGGCATCCTTGTTTTGTTGGAAGCTACTATAAAGCTATTGTCATTTTTTGCAGTTATTATTCAAGCTGGCATATTATGCCGTTTCCTAACCAGGTGCAACTCAAGTTTTCATCAACAAGTAATTTTTCTGTCCCCAGAGAAGGTCAAAATGCTTTGCAATGCCACACAAGCACAGCCAATCAGAGCATATTTCATGGACCAGGCAGACTAGAGAAAACTAAGGGTTTGATGGAAAGGAATGCGTATAATACATTTAAGGGGTTTGGAAAAAGTGACAGAGTTTGAAACGAAGAAGGAACAGCTAATTGGATGAACTGCCTGCACCAGAGTGCGTTGCAGCAAAAGTGTTTCTCAACTTTTGGTCACATGATATAGTATCACTTTGCAAGACTCTTTGAGTCTTTGTGCCAATGCACAATACCGCAAGATTTGAATCAGATTCTCATGCCGAATCAGATTCCGAGTTGACAGCCATGCTTTCCCGGGCTGCTGCGCGTTTGGTCTCGCTCTGAGCTTTCGTAGCTGGTGTATGGGGGCGCAGGACAACGTGTAAATTGCCTTGCCCCGCCCCTGTACCTTTCTTGCCGGATGTGCATTAAGAGCTTTGGCAGTATGGAAGCATATTGGGGCCAATATGGAACGCCAAAGATGCCAACATCTGCGTAAAAAGTGTTTTCCTGTTTCGCTACTCTTGATGGTGAGGTGGTCAGAGGGTTCGTGGGGATTCCCCAGATGGAGTATGCAGCTGCAGTGCCGCAGAGTGCTGCCACCTGGTGGGGTCATCCGCAAACCCATCCAGCACCTGTGAGACAACAGTAGCTCTGGCTGCTGGGGCATACAGTGCTGCTGGACAGGCCGCCTCTGCCCTGCATGCGATGGCCACCCCTTAACTCTACGAGGCCAAAGCACTTATAGTGTACGAGGGTAGTTCTGAGCCGGGGTTGATGCAGGAACTGCCCAGAGTGACTGACCGTGATGAAAGTCACATCGCAGGCTATGTGATTCAGTTGGCTCGTCCCCGAAATTTGTTTACAGCGATCAACCTGAAGGATGCGCACTTTCATGTCTTGATTCTCCCTCAACACAGACTGCTCCTGCACTTTGCATTCGATGATCTGGTATATTAGTACAAAGTCCTCCCCTTCGGGCACCTCAGACAGCTGGGTCTTCAGGTGGGTCAACTGGGAAAAGAGAAAACTCTCCCCCGTGCAGAGTATCTCTTTTCTCGGTATGGAGCTGGACTCTGTCAGCCTGACAGCACCCCTCACAGAGGAGCGTGTTTGCTCGGTGTTGAACTGCTTGAATTCACTCAAGAGCAGAACAGCGGCCCCACTGCAACTATTTCAGAGGCTCCTTGGGCATATGACATCCGCAGCCACAGTAACGACGCTTGGATTGCTTCATATGAAGCCGCTTCAGCACTTGCTTCACGGCCGAGGCCCGAGATGTGCGTGGCAACACGGCACGCACCGGGTGACAATCACCCTGGCCTGCCGCCAAACCTTCAGCCTGTGGTCGGACCCTGGTTTTCTACGGGCAAGAGTTCCCCTAGAACAAGTGTCCAGGCATGCTGTTGTCTACATGGATGCCTCCACCAATGGCTGGGGTGCCACTTACAATGGGCATGCAGTTTCGGGGGTTTGGACGTGACCCCAACTGCATTGGCACATCAACTGCCTCGAGTTGCTAGCAGTACGGCTTGCGCTGGACCGCTTCAAATCGCCGCTACTAGGCAAGTATGTACTGTTCCGAACGGACAGCACTGCGGCCAGCAATCATCAAGGTTGAAGTGCTGCTTGCTCCTGGGTGCTGCGTAGAGCTGCGGGCTAGGCAACACCCAACACTTTTGCCAGATTTTATAGTATTTGTGTAGAGCCAGTGTTCTACCGTGTACTCGCCCCAAGTGGCCAGTGAACGTCGGGGACCCACTCTGTGTCTCGCTTGCTGCCCCATTCCCCTCCAATGGACCAGATGCGTGCGCTTATCTTGCTCCTCAGTTGAGTTCCCCAGCTGGTGAACCCTGTTGAGTTCCTCCACAACCCTTGGCAGTCAGAGGGGATGGAACTTCCGACGCCAGGCCTAACACTCGTAAGTACACCCAATGGTTGACCCCTGTGCTAGGCTAGGTGCCATATGTTGTGATCCCTACGGTGATCCTAGATTTGTATTCTTCCATGGTACGGGTCCCCTGTGGGCGAGCCCATGGCTTTCCCTTGGCAGAGTCTGCTCTGCCGTCCCTGCCGGTGTTGACTCCCCCCTAACTAGGCTGGAGCTAACTCAGAGACATATGTTGGGGTGGGTCAGGTGGCTTATGCGAAGCGCTGGAAGGAGCAAAAAATAGTGGTCCTTTGGTAGGGATTGCAATTTGTCAGATCACGTCTGACGTAACATTGAACATGACTGACTGATAGGGAACGTCTCGGTTACGTTTGTACAATTCACGCTGTTACAATAACTGTACCACAGCTGAGCGGCCGGGTCAGGTTTGAGCACCCCTGATGTAGAATCTCAGCATTAAATTGTTCTTCGTTTGTACTATATAATGTACTTCAAGTGACTTATCATAAAAGGGTTTCTAAATGACAATTTACTAAAAAAGGAATCCTGACCCTATGCCAGTCAGAACTACAGATGTAGCTTCATTTAGGAACATGGTTTGAGAGTGATAAGGCATCTTTTTGGATGTCTAATGCTATTGTCATCCCCCCACACCCCTGCGGCGGCCCGGGTTTTGTTGAAGCGAGTCTCTCACTAAAGCTGATTACATCGCTATAATGCCTAGTCATTGGCATGTGTTTCTTTGGCAGGGTTGTAGCACTGATACGATGATGTCACAGTGGGATGACATCACCACGTCATCCATCAGCAGTGTTGCTTATCTGTTGCCACACTTGTTCTGATTGGTCAGCTGATCATGTTTAATCTAGACAGCAGTCATCACAAATCTAAGCCTTTTGCGTATACACACACACACACACACACAGACACACACTCTCTAAAATGAATGCCAGTACACACCAGTTTCATTACAATACACAAATATAGAGAATTGTGTGTTAATGTGATAATTAACTTTCTATTCACACGGTCACACAAGATTTGTGTTTAATGCATCATTAGTGTAGGTATAATTATTGTTGAATATCTTTCAAAATTAACCATGACAAATGCATAGAGTTTGTGACTTAATTAAAATGTTTCTTATTGACTAATTATAACTAAACTAGATTTGACATCTTGGAAAGTCTTTATTAGAATTCTTCCATTTAATTTAAAATTCATAGATTTAATATCCCATATGTCTGTACTTGTGACAAACTGTCAAAGCATCCTAATTCAGTTGCAGGTGGATCTCTTCTCATGACAGGGCAAATGTGAGTAATTGCATTAGAGTTTTGTAATCCTTCAAAGTTTGGTTAGTAAGCAGGGTCTGTTGTAAGCCATAAGTCTTGAAGTTGAAAACCAAACAATGTTCCTAACAAAGATTTCAGGTCCATATAACCCTGTCAATCACAATAATAAAGGTGTAAACCCTGATGTTGTGGGGGAAGGAAGTGGTTCTGCATCAACATCTTTTGTTAGTCCATGAACAACATTCCAGGCTAACACACATAGATTTTACCCCATTTCCAAACAATAACTACCTAACCTAAAAGCAGATTGAAATGATTGGGTAACTAAGGCATGTACAAGGATAGCAGTGCTGTTTGTTGTCAAAGAAGAACAAAGACGGTTTATGTTTCGGAAATGAAAATATGCAGCATGAATAATATTAATGTGAGCTTCAAAGGATAGGGTGCTAACAAGGACAACAGCCAGACTTTTAACCTGCATGGATGGCAAAACTATGGACTGGTCAATAGTCACAGAGAAGCTATCAGATTTTGTACCTACCAGGAGAATTTCAGTTTTATCACTATTGAGTTTTAAAAATAAAACCAGGTTTTAAATGTCTGCTAAGCAGCTGCACAGAGAAAGTGGAGGAAAAGCAAAAGTAGGCATGGAAACAGGGTAAGCCTGGGGATTGTCAGCATAGCAGTGGAAATGAATATGGTACTTCCTAAAAATATGTCCAAGGCTCAGTAAATAAATAAAAGAGGGTCCAAGACTAAGCCTTGGGGAACACCAGTGGTAACTTGCGATGGGTTAGATCTGAAGTTGTACAGTGCGCCCAAATTATACAATCCAAACCAAGACAGGCAGGTTCCCATAACTCCAAGGGAGGCCAGCCTTTCTAGGAGGATGATTGTATCAAAGGTCGCACTCAGATCAAGCAAAATAGGTAAAGTCAGCTGACCAGAAGCCACTGCCTTAAGAAGATCGTTAATAACTTTGACAAGTGTGGTTTCTGTGAAATGAAGTGGATTAACAAATGTTTTTAATAATTTTTAGATTTTGTTTTAGTTAACTTTTAGTTAACTATAATAACCCTGCAGACAACCAAAGTAAACTTTTGACTTTCTGCCCTCTTCTTG